CGAAGGGGGCGGGGGGCGGGGGGGGGGGGGGGGGAAGACCTGTGCCGTGCTGGCCACACGTTTACATCCTCGGGTCCCCCGGCCTGACCCTCGCCTGCAAGGCGGAAACCAGACAAGGGCCGTGCAGAGGGCGAACCCTACTGCCCGGCCAGCAAGTCCGCACGCCCGGACAATTGGTATCCCAGTCCTGCCCCAGTGGGGGTGCGGAGCCGGGAACGCGGGGCGCAGGGAGGCGGGGGGTGGTCCGCCCGGGTGGCCCATTCGTGCGCCCGCCCACACGCTCCCCCCCCCTCGGCGCCGGGGCACAGGTGTGGGGGCGGGGGGGGGGGGGGGCCGAGGCGCGCGGGTGGCCAATTTTTATCCTCCCACCCTCGGTGCCTCTTGACCGCAGGTCCCCGGGTACCAAGGAAATTCCCCGACTACCCAGTTGTGCAATCTCCCGTCGCCTCCCCTCCCCCCTCCCCCCCCCTCCACACACACACACACACACACACACACACACACCATGTACTCCATTGCCGCTTACTCCTCCATCCGCCGTGCCGGCTTCGGCTTCCGTGGCGCCGCTGTACGTCACTCTCCGCCCTTATGCCAGGGCGGCAGCCCAGTGTGCCAACCGCGGGAGGACCGTGCGCGCGCGCGCGCAACTATACGCGCGTGTGAAAGCCGCCGCTTTCTTGTCGGGCGGGGACACCGGCTCGTGCCTTTGCGCACCTGAATAGGGGTGGGCTCTTGCCGTCTCCTCCCCTGCGTGGCCGGGGTCGTCACGCATGACCGCATGGGTCCTTGCCTCCCCCCTCGCGCCCCCTCTTCCACACACATGTCTTTCGTTATCGCCCCAGTCTCCTGCCTCTCTCTCTCTCTCTCCTGGGCGCCCGTCCCTCCCCGTCTCCCCCAGCCCTAACACCCACACTCTCCCCCCACCACTGCCCCCGCCGCCCTCTCACCCCCTGCGCAGGCCCTTCCCCAGCTTTTCTCTCGCGCCTACGGTGCCGCCGCTGGCCTCACCCACGACGAGGTCGAGTCTCGTGTCATGAACACTGTCGGCTCCTTCGGCAAGATCCAGCCCGAGCAGGTTCGTCTCGAACGCGCGCGCGCGCGCGCCCACCGTGTCCTTCCCCTTGCCGCCCCCCCCCCCCCCAGCCACTCCTCTTGCTCCTGCCTTTGACTCACCAAATGCCATTTCTCTCGCCTACCCGCTCGGACCTCCGGCGCCCTCCCACCCCCCGCCCCCCACCGGCTCCACAGGTCTCCACCTCCTCCCACTTCGTCACCGACCTCGGCCTGGACTCCCTCGACGTTGTCGACCTCGTCCTCGAGCTCGAGGCCGAGTTCAACATCGAGATCCCCGATGCCGATGCCGAGAAGATCCTCTGCGTCAACTCCGCCATCAAGTACATCGCCAACAACCCCAACGCCCACTAAGTGGCTTTCCCCCTTCGCCCCCGCGCGCCCCTCCACTCGCCTATGGGATGGGTGCCGTCTCCCGCGGCACCCGCTGTATGGGAGGGATGCGGGGGGGCGGGGCCATCCAGCCACCCCTCTCCCTCTTCCCCCTGCGTCGTTCCCGCGCGCACCACCCCCCGGGGTCAGGGGAGCTGTGTCTCCTCGTGCGCGCGTAGTAGACCCTCCCTCCTCTCATATATATACACACACACACACACACAAATCCCACACCCTCTACCGGCTGTGCGCCCCTGGTATTTCCTCCCTCCTCCAGAGGGCGAGGATGGAAATGGCGCCAGCACACACACACACACACACACGCAGTGCGGCGTACAAGACAAAAATAGCAGTGACACTGGCCGCACATGGCTCGGTATGGATGCGTGCGGTCCCCCCATGTGCACACTGAGGGGCAGCGGCGCGGGGCTGGGCGGGCAGCGGTGCGGCAGAGCGCAAGTGAAGGCACTTTTTGCGGGCCCCAGGGGCAGGGGAGGGGGCGGGGACCGGGTCCAACGGCCGGAGCCTTCACCACGGCGCCGGGGGTGGGGGGAGGGGGGGTCGGACGGAGCCCCACTCACGGCGCCCGCCCGCCCGCCCGCCCGCCCGCCCGCACATCCGCCACTGCATTGGCAGGCGGTGCGCGGCCGGAACGGCGTGACAAATGTATCCTCCCTTTTTTGTATGTGTCTCAAATATTAAGAGCCCATTTACGACGACCACCGGGGCGCCTGCATGATGTTCACTTGCAATGTGCTCGTGAATGGACCTGCCTGACGCAATGTGCCTTCACCGGCGACACCCGCCCACACAAATGCGCACACACACACACACACACACACACACACACACACACACACACACACCGAGGCGCCACCGATCTTTCTTGTTTTTTTGCCTTGCCGATCGCCCCGGCGAGACGCTCAGCCCGGCTGCCCGTGTTGCCGGACCGGCGGAGCCCCGGCGAAAGTCGGCGGCGACCGCTCGCGCCCGTGGCCGCGCGCGTCCGGATATCAGCGCCCACATCGCGCAGGTCAGCGCCCCTCCCCGGGCGTCAGAGCAGGATCCCCCTCTTCCACCTGCCTCCGCCCCGCCTCCCCGCCTCCCCGCCTCCCCGCCTCCCCGCCTTCGCGCCCTTGCGCCTTCGCGCACCCCTCCCCCGCCTGCACCCGCCCCCAACACGTTCGACCACCGCGATGGTCATCGAGGACGCGTCCATCGAGCGCTTCTGCCGCGGCTGCCGGGATTATGTCCCGGCCGTCCGACGCCAAGTGGACCAAAACAATCCGCCGATCCGGCGGCCACATGAAGCCATGGCCCAGGATCCGGGCCTCTCGGATGGTCTCTGCGATGAGTGCATCGTCCGGCTCATGTCCCCGGAAAAGTATGTCACCCGGTCCTTTGCCTCGGCCAGCTTGCGCACGGTCCTACACCAGTACAAGAGTGCGTTTGCTCCTTTCCTCTCCTGCTGCTCGCTCTCCTCTTCGGCCACTCACCCGGTTCGCCTCGCCGGACAGTGACCCATCTGGTCATGTCCAATCGCTTTGCCAGTTGGATTGGTTTGGCGACCCTGCGCGTCCTTACGTCGCCGGTCCTCACCTGGTCGGCGGCCCGGCTGGTGTGCTTTGTCCTGCGCCGGCCTCTGCCGGCCGGGACGCCGACCGCCCTGTGGCCGGTCCCGGGTCCCGAGCGGCAGATCATGCCGCGCCCTTTCCCCCTGGCCTGTGCCGGCCAGCCCTTCACCCCGGTATCCATCTCCAGCCTGCTTCCGCTGATCAGGAGGGTGCGCACTTGTTTCGCCCTCTCTTGCCCTCTTGCGCCCTCTCTCTCTCTCTCTCTCTCTCTCTCTCTCTCTCTCTCTCTGCCTCTGACCCGGTTTCCCCCCTTGGCGCCCCTTCCCCCCTTTCCCTCGCTTCTTCCTTCTCCTCCTCCGCACGTACTCATGGTCCACATCCGATTCGCTTTGCCCGCTGCCATCCGCCCCGCCCGCAGGCCATCATCATCTGTGGATATTCCCCTGTCCTCAATTATGCGCGGAACGCCCTCTGGCAGCAGCAACTCCAGATGTACTTCTACCACACGATGGCCCACACGAGTACCGCAACTATCAGCATCACAGGCATGGCCATCTCCATTGCCACCGAAATGTGCGTCCTGCCTTCCCTTCCGTTTGCCGCTCGCCTCGATTCTTGGCTTGGATCCATCCCCCCCCCCCCCCGCCGACATGGGGCGTCTGCTGCTTCTCCTGACCCGCCTGCCGCCTCGGCGATCGTCCGCATGGCAGCTTTCGTCTTATCACCGGCCCCCCGGACGGCAAGCCCCTGGTTCGCGGCGGCCATATCCTGTCGGTGGCCAGTCTCTTGAATCAAGCGGATGCCTTCGCCCTGGGGTTCGTTTGGGGCCTGCAAACCTTCGACCACGCATCTCTCAAGCCCAAGAGCCTGCGCAACTGGGAGCCCCTGGTGCGCACCCTCATCGACTGGCTGATCGTGGGCGCCGAGGCTGGCTTCTTCCCCCGGCTCTTCCCCCTGATCCAGCAGGATGGCGCCTCGGCACCTGCCGAGCCGGTGTACCTCCTTCAGCCGGCCGCCCCTGGGACAGAGATCTCCCTCTTCCGGCCATGGACCTGGTTCCGCCGTGGGCTTACCACCGACGCGGCCTGGTACATGGGTGTCGGCCTCCTGTCCCAGGGAGCCATGCTGTTGACCCAGTATCTCCTCCACCGGCGTGTCCGGCAGCTGATCGACGAACGAGCCACGCGTCAGGTGGCGTCCCTCTACAAGCCCCGCGTGGAGATGTCCGACCATGATGGGGATGCCTCCGGGCAGGGTTCCCCCAAGGACCACTGAGCCCGGGGTCCTGCCCTTGCCGGGATTTGGAGGGGCGCCAAAAGCAGGCAGCTTTCGCCAGGCCTGCCTCCCACCTCTCCGCTTCTCTCTCTCTCTCTCTCCCTCTCTGCCACTCTCCCCCTCCATTCTTCGGCCCCTCGCCGTGTTGGGGCCAAAAATATTACGCCAAGTTTTTTTTTTGTCTCTTCTTTGTCTATTCATACACGGGCGTATTTTTGGTTGTGCTCCGGAATGGACGGCTCGGCGAGCTCTGGCCGCCGGGTCTCCGAGCCCCGAGGGAGGCAGGAGCTATGCTGGCGAGGGCAGGGCAGACCCTCAGTCATACTCGTGGAAGACAGCATCGGCCGGTTCTGGGGCCGAGGTACCGGAGCCGATCTTCTGCACTACCGACCCGGTGCGCAGGCGCGCGGCAATCACCTGCAGCGCATCGGGCGAGGTTGGGTCCACGCGCGGCTTGCAGAGCTGGGCGAGTTTTTTGTTTTGTTTTTTTTTTCCACCACCCCCTCCACATTGTTAGTCAATGGGGCTGGTTCCCCCCCCCCCCCCCCCCCCCCCCCGGACAGGCGAAGGGGGTGCGAAGGAGGGGGCAAGAAAGAAAAGAAAGAAGGAAAGGAGCGATGCCCAAGCTTGGGAGGATGTACCTGGCCAAGGCGGCGAAGATCGGCCACCTCCGGCGAGCCCAGGACCTCGAGGCCGTGCAGCTGCGGCGGAGCCCCCTCGGCCGGGTCCGGTCCCGCCAGGATGTGCTCATTCAGCAGGGCGAGAAAAGCCGCGCGCCCAGGCTCGATGGCGCTTCCGGAGGGCAGAACCTGCACCACGAGAACATGCCGGGTGATCAGCGGCTGGATGCCGAGGACCTTCTTGGAGACAGCGATCTGGGCATGAGGAGGCCGGGGAGGGGGGGTGGAATAGTGGCGAGGGGCGTGCGCATATTGCGTTGGGTGAGGACAAAGTGGCTGCAGGTGCCTATCCAGCGGGAGAGGCGCGTGGCGAGGGAGAAGGAGGTGAGAAAGGAGGGAGGGGGGGGGGAGGAGACAGAACGCACGGTGGAGCGCCCGCTGATGGCGCAGAGGAGCTGATTGCCGAGGGACAGCTCGGTCGACGGGTCCTGCTCCTGGGCATGGCCGACAAGAACCTGCATGAGGGCCACCTTGAGGTTGGACACGTCGGGAACCTGAAGGGTGGGGCATGAGGCAGGGGTCGGGAGTAAAGGCGTGTCAGGCGCAATAGCACGACCACCACCGCCGGCAGCATCAGCAGCAGCCGCGGCAGCAGCAGCACCAAGGACGGAGGCGAGCAAGGCGGGAACATCATTCAATGCATGGGGTGGAGTGTGGCCCAATGGCGTACCATGCCGGCGTCAAGCATGGCGACTCGGCTGCCGAACTGGTCGTCGGCCAGCGACTGGCAGAGCTTGCCAAGCACGGCGTCCGAAGCGCCGGAGACCACACACGCAAGGATCGGGCCCTCGGCCGCGCCGAACGCGCCCAGCAGGGGGATGTCGACCACCGAGATGGCGGCGTCGGTACTCATGGTGGCGTTGTGTGTGTGCGCTCGGGGAGGGTAAAAATGGGGGGCAGGCAGATGGAAGCGCGTGCAGGGGGCGGGGGGGCAGGGGGGGGGGGGAGAGGAGGGGAGCATGCCACTGGCCTGCATGATGCTGGCACGGCGCGATCTCTTTTCCAACTTACAGGCGAAGAGCGCGCGGCCCTCTCGTCCCCTCCCCCCCCCTCTGGGAGCGGCGGGCCCCATCCGCGAAACAAGCCCAAACAAAGAAAAATACACCACCCCCCCCCCCCGCACTCCGCCAGGCGTCCTCCGCCATAGCCTTCTGTCCCCATCCCGGCCTGGGGGGGGAGCGGCAGGGGAGGTATGTGCAATATTGCATCAGGCTGAGCCGCCCCGCCCCCCGCCCCCCGCCCCCAACCCCGTCCGGCGGGACGTCTCACAGGCGTCCCTCCAGCGCGGCCCTCGCTCGTGCTGTCCTCGCTGTTCCGATTCCCCGGGAGCCCGTTCACTTGTGGATGGACCTCGATTGGGTAGGGAGGTTGTCTTGGTTCCTTCGTCGATGCTGAGCGGTTGGTGCCGGCCCCGGGGCTCTGACATCCGCGATCGGGCGCGATTCCCCCGGCGCGTGCGGATTGGTCCCTCTTCTCCCCCCCCCCCCCCCCCCAGCAAACACCCCGACCGCCTGGCGCTCGAGCTGGCCCCACCACCGGAGACTGTTGGGCTGGCATCTCAGGCAGAGTCAGCTGGAGCCGGCTCCACTGCGCTTGCACCTCTCCCGGCCGTTTCCCCCCCTCCTTCTCCTCCTCCTCCTCCGCCACCTTCGCCACCTCCTCCCCGCCGGATTTCCCTGATCTTGGCCCCCTGCCCTGTGGAATGTCGAGCACGGACGCCCAGCGCCTGGCGCTGTTGCTGGCCGAGGCGCGACGCACCCTCCGGCTGCTGTCTCCTCCGGCCGCAGGCACCACCGGCTCGGCGCACACGGCCATCGACAGCGAACATGCAGACCGCCTGCCTGCATTGCGAGCCACCCTCACCGAGGCACAGGCCCTTGGCGCATGGATGACTCCGGCCCAGCGCCGAGCCTTCGATGCGTGCGTCCTCCCCCCCCCCTCCCTCCCCCGTATCCTTCTCTTCCCTTCATTTCCGCGTCTCTCTCTCCCCCCCCCCCTGCTCCCCGGCGAGACCGTCTCCTTCTTTCCTCCTTCATCGGCCTGACTCCCGAAATGGCCCCCTCTGGCAGAATGCTAGACACTTTTGCGCGGATTGAGCTGACCTCCGGGGCGCAGTCCTCCGACCGGGCCCCACACCACCCTGCAGCCGAGATCACCCAGCGCGGGGGCAGCAATTCCCACCCCACCCCGTGCGCTTACTTTCCCTCGCCTCGCCTGCCTCCCTCCGCCCCTTCTATCGCGTGCACTTCCTCCCCGTCCTTCCTCCCACTGACCATCTCGGACCACAGTGCCCAGCAATCCCTCCACGATGTTGCCCTGAAGAATACCAGCTCCCTGCGCGCCGCGGCCGAAGACCTCGAGGAGAACGTTCGCCGCGCTCGTGACATCAACTCCATGCTCAGTGCGCTTCGCCTTCTGCCGCCCTTTCCCCCCCTTCCCTCGCGCCTGTTTGCCTCCTGCCGCCACTCGTCCTCTCCGCCCCGGCGCTTTCCCCCTCCTTTTTTCTCACCCCCCCCCCGCCCCCGGCCTCCCTAGTCACCTCTTCGGAAATGCTCGAATCCACCAGCACGGAGCACCGGACCTCCGGGGCCGGGGCCACACAGTCAGCCCTCTCGCTGACCCGGCGACTGCGGCTGCAGCTGTCCATGGACCGCATCCTCCTCTGGGTGGCATGTGCTGCCTTCGGCCTTGTTTGCATCTACATCCTGCAAAAGCGCGCTCGGCTCTGGTGGTGGCGTTGGTTTGGCTGGCTCTATCGCTGGCTGTCCGATCGCCTCTTCCAGGCCACCCTCGGGGCGGAGATCGGGGCCGCCGCCGGCGGCGCCGGCGGCGGCAACGTGACTCCCGGGGCGCACGCGATGTTCCGCGACTGGCCTGCGGAGCTCTGAACACGTGACGTCTACTGCCGACGGTCGGCGCGCGCCGACCTGTGCCCCCCCCCGCGCAGGCGCCCAGAGAACGGCGCATCCGCGCGGGGGTCTGGCGCTCGCTCGGCCGGCCGCGGCAGGCTTGCCAGAGCAGGTGCGGGGGGAGGCGGAGGGCCGGGGTCTCTCCGGCTGACTCGTTCACAGAGAGAGAGAGAGAGAGAGAGAGAGAGAGAGAGAGCGAGGCAGAGTGGGCAAGGGAGTGCCTGGGGTCCTGGCTCTGGCCCAGGTCCCGGTGCGCCCATTCCCCCTGTTCTGCCAGCGGCGGGCGGCGCGCCCGCCACCGGTCTCTCTAGCCGCGCGCGCGCGCGCGCATGCGCCCGAGGAGACGCGCGGGCGTGCAGACCGTTGCCGCGCCCGGCACCCCACGCCTTGCGACCCTGCCCCTTCCGCTGGGGGTTGTTTGTAGCTCGTTTTTTTCTCGCTCTCTCTCTCTCTCTCTCTCTGTCTCTCTCCGGTTCACCCATACCCTGCTCCGGTGTGCAGTGGGACTCCCACCGGTCACCTCCGCCGGACGCGCGTGGAGCGCGCCCCCCGCCGGCTCCTGGTGTTTGTCTGCCTTTCTGTTCCCCGGTGTCCGCTTGTGCCGGCCCCGCCCGGGAAAAGGCCGGGCGCCGGAAACTGGCCCGGTGGTCTCGCCCTTTTCGCGGGACCCCCCCGACGTTCCGCCCCCTCTCCAACGGGCGCCCCACACAACGGCCCTGTGCTCTCTCACGC